AGCACACTTCCAGCTCGGCCTGAGCCAGCAGCCAGAGAAAAGCGATCGGACAACCGTACCGAATCACAAACACAAAGAGGCCCATTCCCCATAATTAGGTGAGACAATCCCTCAGTCTTTTCTCGGCTGGAGCTTGCCGGTAAGACTCTCGCTGTTTTGGTAAGTCCCAGCAACACAAGTTACACGTCTCCCCAGGACACTAATAAGCCCCTAATTGTCTTCCGCTTCACACGACTCGTACCATAGGTCTGACTTGGGGGAATTCTTCTAACGAGCGGCAGCCAGCGCTCCCTGCGCTGCAGACGGACGGGCAGCCGCCTCGCGGGCACGGGGAGGAGAAGGGGGACGGGGAGAAACAGCCAGAAAAGCAGCCCAGGCGCTGGGGCCCAGCTCCACGGCACGGGGCCGGTGGCTGGGCAGCAGCCGCGCGTCGCTGGGGACACGGACCTTCTCCACCCTCTCCCCCATCACCACTGTCCATGAGCTCAGCTCTCTGGCCTGCCTTCTCCTTCCTCGTCTCCAGCAGTACACAGGTACCCACGTCGCCACGCAGAAATGCACCATCAAAACCAAACATTTAATTGCAAAGATTTGCCTTAAGTCTCTGCTCAGGCCTGCTGGGGGTTCCCCTTAGAGAAATGCAGCACTTGGCATGTGCTTTTCTACAGTAAGGCCATGCCGTGGGTCTGCCTCAGAGTTCAGGCTGGGAAGGAGCATGGGTGTAGATGAGACCCCGTCAGTTCCTGTGGAAGGCAACGCGTACTGGGTCTCACGAGACAGGTTTCTAAAGATGCCCACAGAATTATTAAAAACATGAGAACTTCCAGAAGACGTTGTGAGGTTGGTAGGAAAGCCCAGCTCAAACTCCCTGATCAAAACAAGGCAAATAAAACACATCACTCCTCCCTCTAACTTTCAACCCAACACTTTCTTGAGAAACATCGGGAACCAAATATTTTTCAGCAAGACATTTTCCCTAATTTTTGATGACAAGCTCATTTTGAGCAAAATATCTCAGCTGTTCCCATTAAGGATACTCAGGGCCTGCAGATCCCTTTGCCTCCCACACAGCTGATTACAAACTGATTCCTCCTGCAAGTCAGGGCTCACCCTGGTCCCTCCTGCAATGGGCCCCACCAGATATTATTTGTCCCCCAGTTTTATATGTGCTATTCGGCTTCGGTGTGCTAAGCAGGGGTAGAAACCTAAGACAGGGTGATAAACTGATCCATGCAGAGTACCAGAGAAAGACAGGCACCGGTGATCACCCTGAAAAGCAATATACATATATTATATATACATATATATGTGTGTTTATATATATATATATATTTAAAAATATATATATATAAAATTATAAATTAAAACTAGCTACAGCTAATAAGTTACTTTAATACAGGGAAATGAAAACAAAAGAAAGGCCACAGAACCTGTCAGCCTGAGCATCTGTGCCCATTTTGGGTCACTCTGCTGGTTTCTTGTCCCTCATTCTCACGTGGCTGATGAGCCCCCTTCCTGCCTTTTTTGTACATAACCTGCTGCGTTTTGGGCTACTGTAGTAAGCGGAAGACGGCAAACGGCAAATTTCTGATGCTTCAGAACAAGCTTTAAAATTCTGCCATCATAAGAAAAGTTGTTAGATGTGCCTGGTATTTTTGGGAAGGGAATCCTCCCTGGCATCCAAGTGCCTGCAAGCACAAAATTTAATTACCCTATGTTATTACATCTGCTCATCAGCTATTGGCCACAGAGCCAGCCTTTCAAGTGATACAGAACCAAGTCAAGTACTTTGTCCCCCCAGAGATCTGGTCAATAAATAAGGTGCAAGGTCATTCTTATTACCTATTTTTTCTACTAGCAATTAAATAAGGGCTTTCAAGCTCAGGCCTCTTCCTCTTTTCTGTTCCTTACTGAGGTGTCTATAACAGAGACAGGCAGGGAGCGTTCTGGCTTCACTGGTCACTGATCTGCATTATAGGAATCAGCAGGCAGGCCAGAGGTCAGCCACACAAACCCAACAAGAAAACGCCTATTCTGTACACGCATCAGCTGCCTGGAGTCAGTCATCCTGCTCAGAAGGACATGACGGAAAAGGTCAAGTCTAAAAATCGGCAGTTTCAGTGGATGATAAAGTCACAATGTGAAGAGATCCTGCCTAATAAACCTAAATAAAAATAGCATTATCGTACATACTCTATGTGGAATGTGGATTACGCTCTGTAGAAACTGGATCAGTCCATACTTCTCTGGCCACTTAAGCTTTTAAATATCTTTATGTGGACTTCAAATGATTTTCCATAATTGACTTCAGGATTTTGCATTTCACATCCTCCTGAAAGAGACTCAAAGCACTGATGTAAGGATTGGCTTGTAGAGATAACATATCTCCAGAATAGCTTTGATTCCAAGAATCACAGTACTACATAAAACTGAGAAGATGCAGTCTTTTTTGTTTACTTTTCCTTGATTTTCTCTTTTTTTGTTGTTGTTGGGTTTTTTGGTTTTGTTTTTTTTTTTTTTTTTAAACCTTGCTTTTTAAAAATATCAAGGTTCATCTCTTATTAGGGCAATGCGTATTTGGCATCACACATACAATACCTTTGGAAGTATTTGGCACCCTGGCTGATGTATATGCTGGGATGTGCATGTAAGAATCATGGGGTTTGATATTTCTGTGGTGGGAAGTTTTTACTATGGTGATTACAGAAATGTATTTATAACATTTGCCTTTGTTGTTCTAAGCAATTTCTTTCAGTTCAGAGTTTGTTGGACCACAGGAAACTTCGGTCCAACTGTGGTTCTGCTGGTTTTAAGCTACAGAGAGGACCTGCAAAATTGTTTCAATGAATTATCATCTTCTGCTAAAGACTAATTATTTAATGACTTTTTAAAAGCATCAGTACAAAATGGCATATGAAAATAGGAGTACAACACTAAAAAGTAATTTCATGTTATATTAAGTTTGCATGCCACATTCAGATAGTTCACTCAGACATGATGTGTTTCCCCATTACAAGTACCCTTGTTGCCTGGGGTTCTTCCTTAGGAGGAACTCAGATTAAGTGTGAGGATGCCTGAAATGCCTCTATCCAGATCACTTCTCTGGTGTTTTGAATGACTGCCAGCTTTAGGAAAGCTTATGTATCAGTCTGTGGTTTTTCTACAATAGTAATTTACATGTTGTCTTTTTCTTTTGATTGCATATGTCTAAAAATTGGTATTACTTTATGCAATGTTACAAAACCTGTGGTAGGATAGGAGTCCAGGATTTCAGGCCATATAACAAAGATGTAATTAATCTTTTTTACATACGGCATAGGTTGATGATGGAATTACCTGGTATCACTTCCTCAAGATGAAGTCTTGATAACAGCCATCATGATTTGGAAAAAGTGTTGTTTGCCTAGGACAAGTTACTGTGGGTGAAGATGACATGGATGAGATCTGCTGCATGCACAGACTGCAAATGTGATGATCCTGTTCTCAGAGATACTTAAAATAGGGTTTAGCCCATGATGATGGGAGAGAAAACAACAGAGGACCAAAATACACGCTGTAATTAGGACTTACACACCTACACAGTATGCTTACACTCTGAATATTCTGCAATTTTGATTATGCCATCTCAAGCTGTAATAGAAGACAGACAATTGAACACTGTGAACATAAGGAAGGTGAACATAGTCATGGAACTAAAAACATAGCAGAAGCTGTAAAATCATGAATAGTGCAGACAGCAAAGAAGAAAAAAAACACCAAACAACCGTTTCTGACAATAAAAAGAAATGAAAGGTTCAAAATGGAATTATCAGGTAAGCAGGTTTAAAACTATGACTTTCCTCCCCAACTTTTTTTTTTTAAAAAAACTTTTCTGTGTATAACTGAACTATGGAACTCGCTTTCCAGAGGCATTTTAGAGGCCAGAAGTATAGACAAATTATGACTAAGACAAATTTATAAAGGGGAGGGTCTGCTGTGGACCAGATTCAACTAAAACAGATTGCTGCATGCTGTATAAGTTACCCTAAAGCAAAATCACTCTGTGTAAGCCTTTTGTTTATATCCTTCCCTATCCTTCTACAACTGTTTATAATCAAAGAGAAGATTACAGATAAGACAGGCTTGTGATTTGACTTGTAATAGCACCTTACATTTTTATGTAACATAAAAATCAGTAGAATAAACCAGAATCAGGTTCAAACATTACCTCCAAGTTAGATTAGTCGGTTTTCACTACTGTGTTATTTCTAGGTGACTTGTTGAGGGAAATACAAAGCAAAATTGAGAACTGTTGGTTATAGGGTTATTCCAAAAATGTTAATTTCGTAATGGCAAAACACAGTTAAAATGGAATATTACACTCTTCTGTTGCCAGTGTGACTAGACTTTCATTTTGATAATGATTAAACATCACAAACAAGAATTTCTTCTCAGTTGGATTAAACAGCAAAGCATTTGACACTCCAAGACTGAAGTGAATAGCCTTTACAACTGAATCTGTGTAACACTGGCATTTAAAAGGAACTAAATACGTATTGGGTTTATTTCCAAGAACATCACAGTAACATTTAACATACCAACACATGAAGACACTTTATAAAGCAATGCATTAGCTTGATTAATATTACCTAATCTTTATTTTCTTATAGTTTTAATTCCCATCATTTAACTTATCAGAACTTTTTTTTTTTTTGTTTCAAAATACAGAAGTTTATCAGCAATAAGAAGTCACCCAGATTATCTTATACAGGTACGTACTGCATGGGTGTCAGGAAAGACATCACTGAAGGAAAAATATAGGGTTCAAAAGACCGTGAAAACCTTTAGTACCATCTGGATATTGCCAAATATTTATTTATTCATGGGAATGGAGCATCCACAAGCCAAACCCTGAGGTGGTTGCATGCAGAAGTGTGAAGAGCCTGAGGAGCAGTATTGCCTAGGTGGCTAAGCAAAAGCTTTTGCATCTCAGAGGGCTATTGTGGAAACCAAGACAAATCTCGGAGCTTTGCATTTGTTTATTATCAAACCACAAAGCAATAACAGACAGATTACAATGCTCTGGCTAACACACAAAAATACAAAACTACTCAAATAATAAAAAAATACATCTCTACAGATGATGAGTACAAGGCCAATAAATATAACAATTCTAAAGCATATGTTACTGGCTGTGCTATAAGTTGGTTACCTATCTGTAAGTACTGCATATGGTACAATATTTTTTTTTGTTTTTTGGGTTTGTTTTTTTTTCTTAAACACATGTATGTTACTAAAAACTGCCTAAAGTTCAAAACTGCTTACTAAACGTATCAGAAAATATACATATACTTCCATGCCAGGCTTTCACATCTTCTCCTATATTCCTCCTCCTTTCAGATCTCAATGCCTTAATGTGTTGGACCAAACAACCTCTATGAAGTGCACAAACTCATTGGCGATACAGACAAAGTATCCCATTATGTCATATATGTGTATATACACATTATATATAGTATACAAACTTAAAATTGTATTTAAATTGTATAATTTAATACTTAAAGCTACACCAACGTCAGTTTGCACCAGCAGGTTTTTTCTCCGTCTTTGATTATCACTTTCAGCTTCTCTTCACATTCATCTGTCTTAACTCTCATGTTCTCAAGGGATGGAGCTCCTGTTAAGCTCAGCCCTGCACAAACTATGAAGTACAGAAATAAATCCATTAAGTTTAATATCAGATTCCTGGCATTCCTAAACATTCAATATTTGCGCAGGATCTTTCCAAGATGTGGGATTTAACTGCTTAAACTCAGTTAACAGGAGCTGTCCAAAACAAGCCTAGTTCTGACCAGTAATAACCAAGACCACAGACTGCAAACCAAAAGGCCACCAGTACTTTAGTAAAAATTCAGAAAGGACCATCTGATTAAAAAATATCTTCCTCTTTATTGCACATGCACCTGAAAGACAGTCTTCTCTCCAAAGACAGAAAAACGCAATGCTCTAAGGACAGCCTGTTATATGTACTATTTCCAAGTCATTTCTCCTCTCACATGTGACTGAAGCCTGGGAAATGACAAGTTTTGAAAAGCTCGCATTCTAAAAATAGCATTTCTAAATAGAGAAAAACCCCTGCTCTCCATCCATTGTTTCGATATTATGTTGTACCCTAAAAAAACCCATATCTACTAATGCTTAAAATGTTGTTTTCTAGGAAAAGGAAGGAGGATGAAGTGAAAAAAATTACTCTCAAGTAAAATAAAAAGTCTGAACACACTGCTTGCCTCTTCTCAGGGGTGAACATGCAGAAGTGAATTAACAGAAGGAAAAGACATTAAATTGTAAGATGAATAAAACCCAAAACTGTGTGCTGAAAGAAACCAGGTCACAGAAAACGCTGTTTTAAAAATTCTGGTTTTGTAGGGAAAGAAAAATTTTGAAGTTGCTGTTTTATAAGTAATTAAAAATACCCAAAAATGTTATTTTCATGAATGTTAAGATTCTGTATAAGCAGACCATCCTCGCAATGTGGCTAATGATCCTGTTGCCCCTTCTTGGAGTGCTAACTGAGAATACTACTGCCTTTCAACTTTATACCTTTCTTCAGTTTCTAGCTCTGTAAGCAGCAATGAATTTCAGTGGACTGACAAAGCTGTCTCTGTGTACGGGCCGAAGTTTCTGTAGGTATATTTTCCTTCATGATACAGTAACACCTCTTACTCCCCACGGTCTGTCAGTCTCAATTTCACTAGAGAACCGTTTAGTGGTGAGATGAATGAAGCTCCTGATACACCGAAGGTCTGGAGGTGCTCCTCGGGGTACCAGACATGCTTCTTTGAAGACAGTGAGTAACTGGAATCGAATGCACAGACTGCACTCAGCTTCTACACTAAAAGCACGTGCTCCTGCTGAACCAGTGCTACAGGTCAATCCAGACCCCAAACTCTGCTCGAATTCTTTAGCACAGAAGTCGCATCACGGGAAATCAATGCATCCAAGACAAAAGACACAAAAGGGTCAATGCCTCATGATGCGCACTGGGCAGCGTCAGATCTGTTGTATACTTGAAACGGGTGCTGCCACCGAGAACAACTGAATAAGGACACTCTGGCTGTTCACTCTAAATAGCTGATTAAAACAGGCAACTGTTACAGCACACCCAGGCCGAGTCCTGCTGTTGGACATCTTGCGGTCAGATGAAGTCCAAATTCCAGCGCAACCAATCGCAGTCCTTGTGACCTGCGTATGCAACACATCTCCCCTCCAGAGAGATGAGCTGGGGAAGCAAAAAGAGATGTTTGCTTCTGAAGGTCTAGAGCAAGAGCTTTGTACTTCTTAGGAGTTCTGGGGGTCATCTGAATCCACAGGACGTGAAGTGATCTAGCTGGGGTATTTTTGTCCAAACTGCAGGCGTGTCAGTTACTTTTTGGGTTTCTCTAGGATGTTCAGGAATTTCCCACGAGTCATTTCTCTAGCTGAAATCACAAGGGAGGAAAAAGAGATTATTTTTTAAAAAGCCAAGAAAACCAAATAATTGTATAATTTACAGATTTTAACCACAGGATAAGAAATTAATTTACATTTGTGCTTATGCCTATAGTGAGTAAGGATTTTTATTTTTTTTAAAGTGGAAAATGAATAAAACTGCATTCCATCTTGAATTCCTGGCACCCTAGAAATGCAGGCAGGGCCTGGAATCTTCTGAAGTCAACAATAATTCCCACAGGCTGTCTCATTACATACAATCTATGCTTTCTATTCCTACTGCGTTATGGTCTCGCAGCATCTCCTTTTCTCTGCACTATCCATCTCTGAATGGTGTAATCCAAATCTCCATCACTCTATCTCAGAGCAATTGTTCCTGGATGTTATAATCCGTCAGAGATTATGGAACTCTCTCTTTCTCCATTTCAGGATTATTGGTCCCTGGATGGTATGATCTTCAACAGAAATTAGACAGCATTTTCTCTCTCTCAGCAATGTCAGTCCCTGGATGCTGTAATATAATGGGGTTTATATTCCTTCAATGCAGTTCATCTATGGATGGTGTAATAAAGTAAAGTTTATAGAGCTTTGGTCTTCTCTCTCTCTCTGCATTGTCAGTCCTTCGATGTTTAATACAGCAAGGCAAGGTTTATATGTCTCTCTCTCACTCTTGGCACCATCAATCTCTGGTAGCTGTATTACTGCAGGGTTTACACAGCCACTTTTCTGCACGAGACATTTCTGACTTGTGAGCCCACAAGCTTACAAACTGGCAGAACAGCCCTAATGCTATCTTTGTCTTGCAATAACAATACAATGCATCAAAGACAACATGATTAGCAATTGAATCCTGGAGAAAGACAATCTCCTCACCAGTGTTTCCCTTCATTTCTTTTCAATAAAGGTGTAAGCTTTCTGCTGGACTGACAGGCATCAAAACATGGAGGTTTTTATTCACAGGATTGATGAAAACGTGCGTGTTTCCCACACTTAGCCTAGAGAGACTCTGGAAGGAGATGGGAATTCATTTTCTGTTTTATCCATTCAATTCCTGACCTCTCTACTGAGAGGAACAACAGAAATGACAATTAGCATTAAGACTGGGACTGGATTTCTTGCTGATGTTGGGTTTTGTTTTGACATTACTAATTATATGTTATAACAGAACTAAAATGTAATAAAAGTGTTAAAATACTCAATACGCACCCTCGGGTAAATATGTTTTGTTATTCTTTACCTAAAGGTTAGAATTGGTGCCTTAAAGCCTCTTTGAATTATTACATTCTAATTTGTCTACCCAAAATTGTACCACAAGGTATTGTTATCAACAAGATCCCTGTAAAACAATTAGTGGTTATTATGAACTGTCTGGTACATATTGATATTCACAGGCTGCAAAGCCCAATGCCGGGAGCGGATCGCGCTTCTGACTGGCTGCAGATTCAAGCAGATCACTGCATTACTTGCTTGGTTCATGCCTCCAGCTGTGAGCTATATCATCTGGGATCCATTCCCAACTCTGTTTCTGATCTACAGCATGAACTACCACAAAAGTACCCATTTGTACCTCTACTTCCCCATCTACAAGATAGCTTATATCTTTTAAGTGCTGCTGAAGTGACACATGGGTAGAAGGTGCTGCATAAGGGCAGAGTGGATTGTTATTTTGTCAGGAGCTAAATTGTTATGCACAAAGAACACGATTAAATAAAAATGCAAGTTTAAAAAAATTTCATCTCGGTACAGATTTTCAGCACCAGTTCTTTGACAACTCCCTGCCTTCAACAATGCATGGTTTTAAAACATTCTTAACAGAAAGCACAAAGCCGAACTGTAGTTGATAGAGTGGAAAGTTTTCCGGAGTGCAAGTCCCATATAGGAGATATACGAATGCATGACAATTCTGTTCCCCAAAAGAGGGCTGCACCCTATAAATCAGGCAGAGAGCATAGACTCCTTCTGTGCGCTGAGTGAAATTACTGTGGGTTGGGGGTTGCTCCAGAGCACGTGCCCTCCTGTTCACTTGTCATCGGAGATGTTAACATTTCTGATTAATTCACAGACCTCTCATTTTATTCTTCATTCCTTTATCCTTGCTATCCTGTTCTGCTGCAGCTTAAAGATTCTTACCGACCTGCTACAATAATCACCGCCCGCTTCCCCCCCCAACCTGGTGAAATTGTTTAGTGATGCCAACCGCGCTTTTAATTTGCAAGACATCAGACACAGAGGTAATTTATACCAACATCTGTTCATTTCTGACTTCTGAAACAAACTCGCACATGCTGCTACAAAATCCCATTAGGAGCAGGAGACAGCCTTCTGCTATTCTGTATTCCTCTTCTCCTCACATACTCAGGCTTGCATCGGGGCTTTATTTTTAAAGATATGATGCCAAACTGAAAAAAAGGACTTTACATCTTTGTATATGTATGAAAATGGCCAGGAAAAAACATTCTCATATGACAAAAAACCCCCACAGCCAAACTAAGGGCAAGTTTCCACAAACATTAACAATCTTGTTTTGCCTGCTTCAGCTGCTTCTCTTATCTGCCCAAGAACCACAGTTGAATGTATTCCTGGTAAACACGGGCCAAATATATATTATGTGGTACTGCGTTCAAACATCTTGGCTATTCCTTCCTCTTTGTTCCTCTTCAATCTGCACTGGAGTATGATTTGAGCTTGGGTTTTACACAGAAAAGCCTCTAATATTGAACTGACTCCTCTGCTCAGTATTGCTTCTGATAAATGAATTCTTAATAATGGGAATATCATTTCCAGTGGGGCCTTTTAGAGCTTGCTGGAGTGAGGAAAGAGCTTGTGAATGAAGCAACCATCATCCACATTCTAAATATGATTGTAGTCTAAGAGAGACAGTAAAACCTGCCTTGAGCAACTACCCAAGGGACCAGCAGAAGCCAGTTGCGTAGTAGACAGAGGTGGATTTTTTAATTAAAAGGTTGGACAAAACTGCAGTGAAAACCTTAGGGATTTTTTCTTTAAAATGGTTGCTTAAACCACAGACTTGAAGTGAAGAGAGGGCATGAATGCAGGTTTCATTGTACCAGCAAACACACACTAAAGAGGCTGTGCAGCGTGAAACAGAAACATGAATCTCCATGTCAAGTCACAATTTACAACCTTGCCTATGCTGTGCATCTACCACAATAGAAAAATCAACAATGGATACGATTGCAATAGCTTGGATACAAATTAATCTCACCTACTAGGGAGGAGGAGGAAGATACTGAAGACCACAGACAAAAACAGTTTAAGATGGTATCAGCACTGGCTACAATGGAATTTGGGTGCTTGAATAGTCTCTTTCAGAGGAATGTATTGAAAAATAGTATCAGGCTATTATAATTAACAAGAAATGCTGTACTGTATGAATTGAGTCTGATGTCTAGCAAGATTGTCCAAGCAGATCTCAAGCACAGGTATTGGGTAGGAAAGGCTGGGGCTGAAGGGAGGAGGAGACATTTCTACTTGATAGGGGAGCAGAATAAGGTTTAATATAATCTCCTCTCTAGAACTTCAATCCCTCAATCCTGCATTTAGCCTTGTTGCCTGGGGCTCCTTTTCTACTACAATTGTCCCCAAGTTGCCTCTCTGCAGTAAATTTTGTGGTTGCTGGTTGAAAAGATTCAGTAGTACAGATTGATTTCCTACAAGTGAGGAGATGAGGGATTACCAAAAGCAGTCCTGGTTAACAAGATTGGGTGCAGAATCTCCTGTGAGAGCAGCCCACTCTGCCAGTGCTTTGCATCCTTTCACTATGACATATGGGTTTCATTACACAAAGATTTTCCTGATTTTAACTTGGAGGCGATTACATTGGAAACTCAGAGCTATCTTTACATCTGTAGCAATTTAAAGGTTAAGTAACTTTTAATCAAATGACAAAGACTCATAATGTTTTCTCCTCGATTGAAAATGAAAACTGCTGTTCCAGATATCCCTTCCGGTGATAATTTAATTGGAAAAAAACCCCATTGCACTGGAGATTGGGGTCCAGCCTGATTGCTCCCCACAGAAAGCCTTCTCACACATATGATAGCACAGGATATACTGTGTCATAAGGTCTGGATAGCCACAAAATAATGGAGGGATTTACTGCTATAAAATCAGTAAAAAACACAGTGAATTACATTTATATAAGCAACTTTCATCCAGGAGAATCCCTCAGCAACACACATACGTACACACTTTTTCAACATAATATACCCTTAAATGCAAAAGCATAACACACTTGATGATAAAGTATATGTGATAAACTGTATTTACCACACATTTATCATTATACCTTCCACTAGTTCCTAGTTCTGGGCTTATCTAAAAATCTCAAAACAAGGCCTGTGAGCATCTTCAAATCACAGATATTTTAAAATGAAGTTGGCCACTAAAGAAGCACTTCTCAGCCTCCCCCTCGGAAGTACAACTTCCAGGACAAATTTGACTGTGCTCCTCCTCTGACCTGAAAAATGTAGCCTTGTTGAAATCGAAACGTCTTGCTACAAAAACCCCTGGAAATACAGTTAATGCCCTGTGAACATAACATGTTTTTAGCCCTGAAATGTCTTGTAGTATCACACTTTAAATGATACATTCTTGACTACAAAAAGGTTATTTTGGGCACTGTCATACTTTGTTAGCTTATCAGTTATTCCTCCCATTCAATTGCATTTAGAGTAAAGAACTTGCTTTTCAACATGGAAGGATTCCTTTAAGGTACTAATCATGCACTCTCAAATTACTGCCATGTTTTAGGACTACATAGAAAACAAAACTAAAAGGGTTTATTTCTGAAGAACTATCAGTGGAAATTACCAGTTCAGGGCAAAGAACATGAATTGCAGAGAGACAGCAGAACACTCCTCTAGTTTTTAGCCCTTCTATCACAAGGGTCTGTTGCATCAGAAATTATTTCTTTTGTCCTGAGACACAATGTTATGATAAGAAGATACAACCGTTCTTTTTCTTTCTT